TTCTTGTAGATGGGCACACGCACCATGTTGGCCGAGGCCAAGGCGGCGCAAATGGTGAAGAATACGAAGAACTTGAACATTTTGCTGTTGGAAAGAAAGGTTAAGAATTTTTAGAATATCCAGGATTTGTGGTTCTGAAATAGAAATTATTCAATTGTTAGAGCGTTCTTACCGTTAGCTTCTTTCAATGTCGTGTAACACCAAACGATGGTATACAACTGTGTCATAAATTTTGCAGCTCATCGTTTTTATAGCCGAATCAAGCTGTGATGGCGGTATACCTGGCACTATCAGTTCGCCCGTCATCGCCCATAATTAATTAGGAACAACAAATAGTTTTGCCTTCAAGATAGATCTACATGAGATAATACAATTTTTTATAAAATATTTTGAAAGTTTTTTTTTTTAATTGCATGGCTTTTTCCTTTTAACTGTTCAATAACCTAATCGCTATGAAATGGAAATGCCCTGATAATAGCTTATCTGGTACAACAAGTATGTTTTGGAAGTGGAGTAATGCAAAATATAAGATTGACTGTAAAAAGCAATAAAATTAGCGGTAGATATCATAAATTGCTATCCGAATCGATTTTTAGTTTTTTTCATATTTCGATAGTTCCTAACGTAACACAATAAATTTTCAAATCGATATTTGAGTTAAAAAGGGTAGACATTCAGTTCAATCTGATCATCATCATATATTCCGAATTCGCTGCAGAGATAGGTATCTAGGTATCCTAACCAATCTTGATCAAAGATCGCACATGGACTGCATATGTAGTCTTTTGTGAAGCCATAGAAAAGAAGAGCTCCTGTGTTTGAACTTATAAATTAGCAAAACGCTTAGTAGCTCATACAAATTTGCAGTGATATTTCATTTCTATTCCCGCCAGTTCGGTGAGATGTCTGAATGTACGCGCTCCCAAGTGTTTAAGTCTTGACCGCCCAAGTTGAGTTGTTTCCACCTAATCTTCTTCCATAGAGCCTTTTCTAGAGTCCTGCACCACATAAAGACTACATAGAATATAACGGGCTCGACTATGGTGGCATAGAGCCACAGGACAACTTTCAGAGAGCGACCCCACCAGCAATCGATGCCCGTTTTCCACCCTCTTCGATACTCGGCTTCCATGAAAGTTTCCTATCCAGGATGACTCTTAGATATTTCACTGTATCCTTTGATTGTAGACGGATGTCTTATCTGTTTTATGTGGGCAGATGGCGAGACCGTTTACAACTGTCCACTGAGTTACGACGCTGAGATAGCCCTGCGTCAATTCGTGAACTGCACTCAGAAACTTTTCTTTGACCAAAAGCGTTCCAAAAGCGTTACATCGTCTGTATAGACAATCACCCGGAAACTAGGTTTTTTAAGCAGGTCTTTCACGACCAGGCTTCATAATAATGTAGAGAACTCCACCATTTTGGTTTCGCCTATAAACAATTCGTCGAGCATGTGAGCTTCCGTTTCAATCACTCTGTCGCACCGAAGACAGAAAATGAGGAATTTGAGGTTTGATTCAACCACAAGACCGTCCAGAGCAATACGACTGATTCCGACAGAACGATATTGAAAGCTTCCTCTATATCAAGGGTAGTCCCAACAGCGAATTCCCTAACCATAATGGCTTCCTCAAGCCATGGCACGATAGTAAGCAGGGCAGTATCCACAAGCTTGCCTTTACCAGAAGCATGCTTGCGTGGCCGTAACATGGGACCTTCAGGATGAACGTGACACTGAGTCGTCTCCAAGCCCCGGGATGTAATTCAGTCTTAAACATTTCCCATAGATGGGAGCCAACCAGTTGCATGACACCTTAACAGTCTACTGCAGCTGGTACCAACCGGTCCTGAGGACTTGAAAGGTTTGAAAGAAGGTCGACAAAGGTCGCGCAATCGTCTTGCAGCATTCTGAGAGATATCCCCCTAGTGAGCATCTGAAGTGTATCCTTACTGCTCAGGGTCCTCTATTCATTTGCGTCCTTAAGCAGAAGACTCATGCCAGTCCTCCACTTTTTCATAGAAAATTTTTCATGAAATCCTCTTTGACTTTCAGAACTCAGACATGTATGTTGTAAGTCCCGTTTTATACAACTTTATTAAGGTAATAGTAATGATTTTTTCGAGCATGGAAAAACAATGCATGAAAATAATTACTGTACATTATTCGGTCGCACCGTACCGTAGCATTCATTTATATACTTATATTGAAAGGTGAATATTTAAATGAACCTTTCCCAGTCAATATCAATATCATTAATTTTCACTTTTGCTCGGTGAAGGCGCAATGACCGACCCGGTTTCATAGTCCTAACAGTCACTACTAAACCGTCTTAGGCAACATCTGGTATTCTAAATAATTATCTTCTTAATACGGTCACAACAACTTTCTGTTACATTATTCTAAAAAGTATTTTAATTTGTATCATTCCCTTATACAGCGAAGTTCTCGTTTTCAATTACCAGGAGAATCTCCTCTACCAGATTTATGTATAGAAGGGAAGCTCTTCCTAATAAGGGAAAATAGAGACTTAGAGAAATCCGGCAGAGCTTGACTATCTACTGTCAAATGCTGGGAAAGTCATTGAAGATTTATGGCTATGAATTGAAAGTTTTAATTGTTTTGTTCGGATTATTTTGTAAACTAGTAATTATAACTCCATTGAAGCTCTAACTAAAGTCGTACAAAGATAGAACTCAGTAAGTTTTCCAGCTATTTTGGAAATTACTATTATTTTCCAGGAAGACTGCTATGCAACAAATGTTTTTAATCTACTTCCCGATACCATAAAGTAAAAACAACTTTTTTTTCATAAAAATAATTTCATTTCAATTTATTGAACAAAAAGTTTTTCAAATTTTCTCGGTCGAAAAAACTTAAGCGACTGGAGCGAAACCAATACGGCTGTTGCCCATATCGAATTCGGTGTAG